TCCTGGGAGGGGCTCCGTCCTGGGAGGGGCTCCGTCCTGGGAGGGGCTCCGTCCTGGGAGGGGCTCCGTCCTGGGAGGGGCTCCGTCCTGGGAGGGGGAAGGAGGATAAAGGCACGAGGGCAAGAAGGGAGAGGAAAGCAGTGGAGAATGCAGTGACGAGGGGACCCAAGAATGCAGTGACGAGGGGACCCAAGAATGCAGTGACGAGTGGACCCAAGAATGCAGTGACGAGGGGACCCAAGAATGCAGTGACGAGGGGACCCAAGAATGCAGTGACAAGTGGACCCAAGAATGCAGTGACGAGGGGACCCAAGAATGCAGTGACAAGTGGACCCAAGAATGCAGTGACGAGGAGACCCAAGAATGCAGTGACGAGTGGACCCAATAATGCAGTGACGAGGGGACCCAAGAAGGCAGTGACAAGTGGACCCAAGAATGCAGTGACGAGGGGACCCAAGAATGCAGTGACGAGGGGACCCAAGAAGGCAGTGACAAGTGGACCCAAGAATGCAGTGACGAGGGGACCCAAGAATGCAGTGACGAGGGGACCCAAGAATGCAGTGACGATGGGACCCAAGAATGCAGTGACGAGGGGACCCAAGAATGCAGTGACAAGGGGACCCAAGAATGCAGTGACGAATGGACCAAAGAATGCAGTGACGAGGGGACCCAAGAATACAGTGACGAGGGTACCCAAGAATACAGTGACGAGGGGACCCAAGAATACAGTGACGAGGGGACCCAAGAATGCAGTGACAAGTGGACCCAAGAATGCAGTGACGAGGGGACCCAAGAATGCAGTGACGAGGGGACCCAAGAATGCAGTGACGAATGGACCCAAGAATGCAGTGACGAATGGACCCAAGAATGCAGTGACGAGGGGACCCAAGAATGCAGTGACGAGGGTACCCAAGAATACAGTGACGAGGGGACCCAAGAATACAGTGACGAATGGACCCAAGAATGCAGTGACAAGTGGACCGAAGAATGCAGTGACGAATGGACCCAAGAATACAGTGACGAGGGGACCCAAGAATGCAGTGACGAGGGGACCCAAGAATGCAGTGACGAATGGACCCAAGAATGCAGTGACGAGGGGACCCAAGAATGCAGTGACGAGGGGACCCAAGAATGCAGTGACGATGGGACCCAAGAATGCAGTGACGAATGGACCCAAGAATGCAGTGACGAGGGGACCCAAGAATGCAGTGACGAGGGGACCCAAGAATGCAGTGACGAATGGACCCAAGAATGCAGTGACGAGGGGACCCAAGAATGCAGTGATGGTCGTGGTGATGGTCGTGGTTAACGTGGTGACAATGGTGGTGGTGGTTGTAGCTAAAGTGTTGGTCAAAGTGGTGGTGGTTGTTGTGGTTGAAGTGTTGGTCGTGGTGGTGGTTATGAGGTCAGTGTAGGTGGTAGAACATATTGTGTAGGTGGACCAATGGTTGGTTGATTAGTGACTGAAGGGAGGGGGGGGGGGGAATGAGCGATGGTGATAGTGACTGGTGGTGGTGGTAGAGGAGTGATTGGTGATTGGCGGGAGACAAGTGATTGGTTGTGGTAGTGACTGGCGGTGGTAGAGTGATTAATGTTTTTTATTTTAATTTTTTCCCCTTACCACAGACGTGGCCACACATTCACAGTGCTAACCAGCATATATATATTTTTTTTTCTGTCCTCCATGGACAAGGTGAGAAATCTGTTAAACATAAAGATCAGGGATTTATTGAAGTCAACCACAGAAGGTGATTGTAGTGCGTTTAAAATGCTAATCTGGCCTACATATATAAGTACACAGGCTGTCCTACATATACAGTGTTCGAGATGTATTTTTACTTAGTGTGTGCGTGTGTGTGTGTGTGTGTGTGTGTGTGTGTGTGTGTGTGTGTGTGTGTGTTTACTAGTTGTGTTTTTGCGGGGGTTGAGCTTTGCTCTTTCGGCCCGCCTCTCAACTGTCAATCAACTGTTTACTAACTACTTTTTTTTTTTTTTTTTTTTTTCCCACACCACACACACACACACACCCCAGGAAGCAGCCCGTGATAGCTGACTAACTCCCAGGTACCTATTTACTGCTAGTAACAGGGGCACTTAGGGTGAAAGAAACTTTTGCCCATTTGTTTCTGCCTCGTGCGGGAATCGAACCCGCGCCACAGAATTACGAGTCCTGCGCGCTATCCACCAGGCTACGAGGCCCGAGTGTGTGTGAGCCCCCAGAGGCCCCCAGTGTGTGTGTGTGTGTGTGTGTGTGTGTGTGTGTGTGTGTGTGTGTGTGTGTCTAACTTTAATAGGGTAAGATAGTTGCTGTAGAAACTAGTGTGTTATTACGTACTCAACCACTGTACTTCCAGTACTCATATAGTAACTACAGAGTTCAGCATACCTTAGCCCAGGAGGACGAAAGTCAGTCAGTATGGGACATTCTACAATATAATGTTCAAGAGAGTGCATGTTTTCTCTTTCACAAAGTTGACACATTGTGTACTCGACATTTGGGTTTTGAGAAAGCTGCCAGATACGTCTATATCCCAGGCGTATTCTGGCCACTATAACATCACATTGCCGGGTTCTTGTACTATTAGTCCCATATGTGAATGTCTTCTCACGATATCTATCATAATATTTAATGCTACAACTTTCAGGTCTTTGTGAATTTGTTAGGTCGGTGAGATCTTCATTAGATATTTGTTTAAGTATTCTCTTTGTCACTGCTAATGAAACACCCATATCAATTTCTACCACTGGTTTTCTGCAGGCTGACTTAGCAAGCATATCAACAGTGTCATGCCTTGAGATGCCAACATGTGATGGTATCCATAGGAATTTAATTTCAAATCTGTTTTCTTTAGCAGCCAAAACATTCATTCGTATATCACTGACTATTTTATGGGTGTCATTACTATGTGCGTTCAATGCCAGGAGTGCACTCTGTGAGCCACAGTATATAAGTCCACTGCCTTTGTCTTTTAAAAATTCAGTGGCAAGATATATGCCTGTAAGTTCGATTTGAGTTGTACCTGCCCAGTCATTGACGCGCTTCATTGCTGTATGCCCGAGAGAATATTGTTTATTTATATTACATGCACATCCGGTACATCGTCCACCTTCTTCTACAGAGCCGTCGGTATAGCACTGATACACATCGTTACCCATACTCTGAGTACTCTCAGTGATGCTGCACAGTGTTAACTGTTTTAATAATGTAGTGTACACACTATCTTTCTTGGGTGCATTTACAAAATCCACTGATAGATCCCAGTTATCACATGGAGTAGTTGGTTGATTAATCATTAAATGAGTTGGGTACATATTTAATATTTTGATGGAGTTGGCTACCTTGTAGAACCAAAATGCATAATCAGATTTCCTCCTTGTTCTACAGACCTCAGGTGCGTGTAGCATATTAGAAAGTTTAGCTTGAAATTTCGTGTGCTGCCGAGATTTACTTAATGCCTTCACGCCGAAAACTGTGCTAATAAACTAAATTCTCTTTGCAATTATCTTTGCTTCATTTTACAAGGTTTCAAGGGATTATAGCTCTTTGTCTGTATACAGAGTGAGATGTAGAGCATTGTAGTCAATCACAGAGCGGATAAATGACACATAAAACATTCTAGCAAGTCTCACGTTAATTCCATAATTAACACCAACAGGGAGCCGCAAGAGCTTTAATCTCTCCCAAAGTCTCCTCTTGAGAGAAGAAAGGTTCCCAGGGCCGTTAATGGGGACACCAAGGTATCTGTAAGACTCGCAGTTCTCAAGTGCTCGCCCATCTATATGATAATTGGGTGGTGGAATACCACATGGAATGAGGGCACGAGTTTTCTGTACAGAGATAAGGAGGCCACATTCCTCAGCTCTAGTAGCAAAAGCGTCGAGCAGAACTTGCATTCTAGGCTCGGTGGCAGCCTGTAAACATATATCATCAGCATAACAAATGACAGTGTCTTCATTATTAGTTGGAAGATCTTTAATAAGTTTATGCGTCAGAACGTTGAACAACAAGGGACTGAGGACCCCTCCTTGTGGAGTTCCCAGTTCAAAGTGTTTGCTCTCTGTGCTCTTAACACCATTAAACAAAACATATGTTGTTCGATTAAACAAATAGCCCTTTATCCATTTCAGTAATTTTCCTTGTATTCCCAGCTCGGCAAGCTGTTCTAGTATGATTTCCCTGTTTGCTGTATCAAAAGCTGCTGCTAGGTCGATGAAGACTGCTTAAGGGAAAGCTTCAATATGTGCGAAGTACTCAGCAAAACAGTGTTGTGTACTGAGCCCAGGCATAAATCCAAACAGTTGGGGTGACAGGTGCCCCTGTATACGATACATGAGTCGGTTAAGGACAATGCATTCAAGCACTTTAGAAACACACGATGTTAGAGATATGTGTCTATAATTATCTGAGTGTGGTTTGGGGATGGGAACAATGACACTCTTTGTCCAAGCATCAGGTAATACTCCTTCACGTAAACTCATTCTGTATAACACTAAAAGTGGATTACCTGGTACTTGTGAGACTAATCTCAGTAGTTGAACTGCTCATCTTTAGTGAATGATTTAATTTCCATTCATTTACATCATTAAGATCCGACACATCAATTGCTGTTCAGGCAAGATTGATGATTCGTTGTCTGTTGGGGCGTGTTATTAAGTTTGTTCTGTTATAACTTGTGCGAGTTATAACTTGATGTTAGTGCCCATTGATCAAGGAGAATATTTGCTTGTTCTAATGGGGGTGTGGTGCGGTTTGGTTGGGCTGCTTCTAGGGATTTTTCGTATCTTTTTCCAAACTTCAAGAAGTGACGTTTGCTCGTTTATACTTTGTAGGAACTCTTCTCAATGTTTATTCCGTATGACGTTGCTCATGTCTCTCACCTCTCTTTTTACGACAAGAAATGCATGCAAATCTTCTTGTGATATGGTCTTCTTGTGGTTCGTTTGTATGTTTCTCCGAGCTGCTTTACTCGTTCATGTTCTTTAACAAATACGGGGTCAAGGACCCACTTGGGTGGTGGTAGGTGTTGCCCACTTCTGCTAGGCTTACGACCTGTTCCCAACACACCCATGTGTCATAGTAGGTAGTAATCGTATCAACGAGATCTCTGGAGAAGGCTTGTACACTCGTTATTGTGTAATCTTGATACCATTTTGATATTCAATTAATAAAGTGATAATGCAAACCATTTGGAATATTCATTTTCCTTCTCTGATGTCTATTAGGCACATCACACTGTACCTCATAGGAAGCAGAAACTGCATAGTGATCACTAACCAAGTGATTTACCAAGGAACATTCCATATTATCTTGCACAAGGTTCCTACTCATTACATAATCAAGTCTGCCTCCCAATAAATGAGTTTGGGTATCCGTAGTATACACGGTTAATCTGTTGTCATAAACATACTTGATAAATTTGCATCCATTATCGTTGTTAGTACTGTGACTAGTGGTGGCAGAGGAGGGACTAAACCTCTTGCACAACCGAAGATCGAACACCGACCCGGCAAGGAGCGAGACAACGGACTGTAGGAAGGAAGAGTGCCGACAAGGAAGAGAGAAGCACAAGGTACGCGTACAATACATGAACGAGTTCCAAAAATTCCATATCGCTTAATCCCTCACAGTGCGACACTCTTCCCATTTTCTACACCCGCTTCACGCTTCAGCAATCCTTTAGAGGAGAGGCGCGCAGATAAGCGGCAGCAGAAAATGATTACACGAGGAATATTCCCTAAGAGGGGCTCTCTTTGTTTTATAATGAGCTTCGTGGCACCACATTCTCCCTCTGGCTAAAATATTCACAGCTCGCATTTTTCTTAGATGGCTGCAAGGATATTATGGCATTTTGGAAAAGATGAAACAAGTTGAATACTTTAATTTTCACATAAAGATGAAACAAGCTGAATGCTTTAATTTTCACATAACATTGTTTAATTTCGCAACAAAACATGCAACATACAAGCAATAATCTATGCACAGAGTCAGAAACTTTATTGTAACGATTTGTATTAGTTACTAAAATAATGTCTGGATTAAACAGGTGTACAGCAGTCTAAATCAAAAGACATTTTTTAATTAAATTGAAAAATATTTAGTTTATAATTTGCCAAGTAAGTCAATGTTTAGTTGACTATTAGGCAGATCAGATTAGGCGAGGCAGATATTGGCAAAATTTATATCATAAAATTATAATTAGGAGAAGACTGTGTTATCCAGGTGGATATATCCAGGATATATCCAGGTGTTAGCCACCTGGATATATCCTTTTACGGTGAGGTGGTTAGGTGACATATGGATGAATGACATTACATGGATATTAATAAGGTATTAAATATATCAACATGTGATATATATTTATCAACATGTGATTTATATCAACATGTAATATATATCAACATGTGATATATATCAACATGTGATATATATATCAACATGTGATATATATCAACATGTGATATATATTTATCAACATGTGATATATATATATATCAACATGTGATATATATCAACATGTGATATATATCAACATGTGATATATATCAACATGTGATATATATCAACATGTGATATATATCAACATGTGATATATATCAACATGCGATATATATCAACAATCAAGATGTGATATATATCAAGATGTGATATTTATCAACATGTGATATATATCAACATGTGATATATATCAACATGTGAGTGTGACATGTTGCCAGCGTATGTTCTTCTGGTTGTTACGTTCCTGTTGCTGGGTCATTCGGTCCACCGTTGGTCCGGGGTCTTGAAGTGACAAATAAAAAGTAAAAACTAACCTTGGAGAGTTAACTGTTAATCTTCCTGCTTCAGTGAAGAAAAACATAAGGAATATCGAGAAGATTCGTGCTAGACTCATAAATCTAAAACTTTCTGTCGTTTTCAACGAAATAGATATATAACATATACATGTCATTAAACTTAGCAGCATAGTGACTATTGTTAATTTTCTTATATATTTTTTCCATTGTACGCAAATATCTTTTACCGTCTGGAGGGTGAAGAAACATTTAATTTAAGATCATTTAATCTTCCCATTTGTATTCTTCGATGTGTCGTCAGCCATGTGACATCTTCAGGAATAGACACTGTTGAAATGACTCAGGTATACTGAGCTTACAAAATTGATTGATTGATGAAGCCACCCAAGAAGTGGCACGGGCATAAATATCCCGTAAAGTTCACAAGGTTGTTGTTGTTGTTTTAGATTTAGCTACTCAAAACGAAGTGTCCATGTAGCACGGGCTATGGTGAGCCCGTAATTGAGTTCGGTTATTCGCGATAACCTTGTTACTGTGATATTTGGGTCAATGTTTTAAATGGAGGTGGGGACTCCTCCTTTTTCCCTGTTTCTTTTTCGCTTCTGTTTTAGTCTTGTTTTAATAACATTATCTTGGTGGCGGATGTATATGCAGAATGTTCACTAGTGAGTCCCATTCCTCAACGGCTTTTCTAATCATTGTAGTCGCGGTGGAATGTGCATCTAATGCAGCTGCTGTCGTTGGATTAATGCTGAGTTTGATGCGCAGGGCTTCAGTAGCTTCACATTCCAGTAAATAATGCTATAGTGGCGCCTCTGCTTCTGTTCCACAGATATGACACTCTTTAATTATTGGGTTTATTACCTCCCAGCAGCACTTGTAACCATGTCTGAGTCTGTGTATGGCTACTGCAATGTCTCTGGATATCTTTTTGTCACGCTTGAAAGAGTAGTACCCAGTGGCTTGTTTGTACCATATCGCAGTGGATCTTCCTTCCGCTACTTTGGCTCTGTGGCGACTTTTGATAGTTGAGAGTATTTTCTTCTTGATTTGCTCCTTAATCTGTGAAAAACTTGGAGGTATTTGAACCTGTACAACAGGTAGAGCAGTGGCAGTTTTTACTAGTGAGTCTGCCTTTTCATTACCATCTATGCCAATGTGACTTGGTATCCAATTGTTTACAAGGAGTAATCTAAACATTTATAAATGTGGGTTCACCTCACTCTAGGATTCACCTATAAACCCCCATAATCGTAGGGGGCGGCGAAGGATAGGGTGAGGTGAACTTCACAACCCAAGGTTATTATTGTGGCAAACAGCCTTGTAGTGCTTCGTAGCTCATCTCATGTTTAATATAAACAAAGCCGATTTGATTAAGGAAAGATGTACAGGTTTCGCAAGTGGTTGGGTAAATACTTGGTGAATCCTCCTTGGAGCTAATGACGCTCCTTGAACGAAATATTCACTTATAAAAACGTTTAATCCTAATTGCGTGTTTATCCGCCGCACCACACACACACACACACACACACACACACACACACACACACACACACACACACACACACACACACACACACACACACACACACACACACACACACACACACACACACACACACACACACACACACACACACACACACATAGTGTCAGAATAGCTAACAGCTAGAATGCATTAGGCAGTGATGTGGTGGAGGCTGACTCCATACACAGTTTCAAATGTAGATATGATGGAGCCTAGTAGGCTCAGGAATCTGTACACCAGTTGATTGACAGTTGAGAGGCGGGACCAAAGAGCCAGAGCTCAACCCCCGCAAGCAAAACAAGGTGAGTACACATGAGAGAGAGAGAGGGAAAGGGAGGGGCCTATATCAGGTTGGACATGCGAGGAGGACCCATAGCCTCGGAGAAGAGAATGAATAACATTCAAGGGATCCATCTTGGATCCCAGGTATGCATTTGGATACCGTCTTCACCTTCCACTTCCCGGTTGCATTTCCTACATCCTCATGTTCCTTTCAAGTGTTGTAGTCATGCTGGATTACCGCGTTCTCCTCATAATTACCCTATCATCCACCTCTACGAACGTGAGGCGTAACTAGACGAGACGGTCGCCCTACCAACCAGGCCATGAAGGCTTTAAAAAAGGTGCACCTAGATGGCCCTGTCTAGGTGGCCCTACCGTCGCCCTGTCTAGGTGGCCCTACCGTCGCCCAGTCTAGGTGGTCCTACCGTCGCCCCGTCTATAGTTGGTCCTACCGTCGCCCTGTCTATAGTTGGCCCTACCGTCGCCTTGTCTATAGTTGGCCCTACCGTCGCCCTGTCTATAGCTGGTCCTACCGTCGCCCCGTCTATAGTTGGCCCTACCGTCGCCCCGTCTATAGTTGGCCCTACCGTCGCCCTGTCTATAGTTGGCCCTACCGTCGCCCCGTCTATAGCTGGTCCTACCGTCGCCCTGTCTATAGCTGGTCCTACCGTCGCCCCGTCTATAGTTGGCCCTACCGTCGCCCTGTCTATGGTTGGTCCTACCGTCGTTCTGTCTATGGTTGGTCCTACCGTCGCCCCGTCTATAGTTGGCCCTACCGTCGCCCTGTCTATAGTTGGCCCTACCGTCGCCCTGTCTATAGTTGGCCCTACCGTCGCCCCGTCTATAGTTGGCTCTACCGTCGCCCCGTCTATAGCTGGTCCTATCGTCGCCCTGTCTATAGCTGGTCCTACCGTCGCCCCGTCTATAGTTGGCCCTACCGTCGCCCTGTCTATGGTTGGTCCTACCGTCGTTCTGTCTATGGTTGGTCCTACCGTCGCCCCGTCTATAGTTGGTCCTACCGTCGCCCTGTCTATAGTTGGCCCTACCGTCGCCCCGTCTATAGTTGGCCCTACCGTCGCCCTGTCTATAGTTGGCCCTACCGTCGCCTTGTCTATAGTTGGCCCTACCGTCGCCCTGTCTATAGCTGGTCCTACCGTCGCCCTGTCTATAGCTGGCCCTACCGTCGCCCCGTCTATAGTGAGCAGGGCGACGGTCTCATATCGTCTACTCCTGTGTTTCAATCTCCAGTGATACAAGTGAATTAAATTCTATTCCCCCACGATATTACAGACAGCGTCTCGTTGCAAATGTTGCGAACACTGTTAAGTTGCAGACATGCGGGTCAGAAATGAAATGTGTTTTGCACATAAACTGTGGAAATAATATTTTACTTGAAAGTCGAAAATCTTTTGAGTTAAGATGCATGCAGATTATAGTGCAGAAAATACATTGTTTTTTTAAATGGGAAATTGAAGGAAATTTATTACATACCAACTATCAACAGTGCATTAATGGATAAAAAATATAATGAACATGTTTCATAAATCACGAAGGCCAGCAATTTAACGAGGCTTATCGGTATGATTAATGAAAAAAAGCCTCGAAAGACTGAAAAATGTGTTCAGGAAAATATACTTTCGCAAAGTCATTTACCATTCAAAACAACAGAGCACACGCGCCAGTGTTTAACCCGAGATAACTGCCCAAATGCTTCACTCTTCCTGAGACTCTGCTCTCCATACTGTGTGTGACCCCAACCTGTCCTGAGGCTATGTTCATTCCATCCAGCGGTTGACCCCAAAGACGCATCAATTTTAACATGCTGTTCATTCAAAATAGGAATTTTCTCAAGCATAAATTAATATTGTTATATATTAGCATACTGTTCATATTTGGGCATTGATAAACCTGCTTGATGCCTGCTTGATGGGGTTCTGAGTTCTTCTACTCCTCAAACCCGGCCCGAGGCCAGGCTTGACTTGTGAGCGCTTGGTTCAACAGGCTGTTGCTTGGAGCTGCCCGCAGGCCCACATATCCACCACAGCCCGCTTGGTCCGGCACTCCTTAAAGAAATCTATGTAGTTTTCTCTTGAAGATGTCCACTGTTGTTCCGGCAAATATTTCTTATGCTCGCTGGGAGAATGTTGAACAGCCGTGGACCTCTGATAGTGTTCTCTGATTGTGCCTATGGCACCTCTACTCTTCACTGGTTCTATTCTGCATTTTCTTCCATATCGCTCACTCCGGTATGTTGATATTTTACTGTTTTAGGTTAGGTTAGGTTAGGTGTTTAGGTTCTGTTGGCGATTATTTGTATTTGAAGTAAATGAGTGCAACCCGTCCTCGACTCAAGTCTATTACATCCAGCGGTCGACTCCACAGACGCATTCATAAATGTTTACATGCTGTTCATTCAAAACTGGAATTTTTTTCAAATATAAATTAATATTTTAATATATTAGCATATTATGCATATATAGGCATAGGTTAGGTTAGGTGTTAGATTCCGTTGGCGATTATTTGTATTTGTAGTACGTGGGTGAAGCATTTACAGCGTTGTGGTTCGAACAAAATTGGTCAGTGAAGCATTTGTTCCGAAAGTGTTCGAACTTCATCAGTTGTGAGTCGTGTGTAAACTGTTTTTCATTTTTGGGTCTTTGGAGGACGGGCTGGCATTTACAGAGTTGAGATTCGAACAGAGGTCCTTAGGGAAGCACTAATCGAGAAATGTTCGAACGTCATCAGTTCTGAGTCGTGTAAACCTTTTTTATACATAAACTTTGGGCTTGGCGGCTGTATGGAATGGACTTTGGCTTTTCTACATGCAATTCGTCCTCATAAACAAAGGCCAAAGTCCATTCCATGCACCCACCAAACCCCCTGTTTATGAACGAAAAAATGGTTTACATACGACTCACAACTGATGACGTTATCTTGAGGTTATCTTGAAATGATTTCGGGGCTTAGCGTCTCCGCGGCCCGGTCCTTGACCAGGCCCCCTTTTTGTTACACATTCCCAGGAAGCAGCCCGTAGCAGCTGTCTATCTCCCAGGTACCTATTTATTGCTAGGTAACAGGAACATCAGGGTGAAAGAAACTCTGCTATTTGTATCCGCCTCCACCGGGGATCGAGTGGATCGAATCGTAGCTTTCTAGATGCTTCGCCTACATACTTTGTCCCCCATTCCAAATGGGGGAACATTTGACAAGGCGCCAGCTTCCTGTCTTCGTCGAGGCCACTAGTATTAATGGCCCTCAGGTAAATACTGTCATTGTAAATAATTACCAGAACTAAAATACCAAGCCAAGCCTGTCAAAGGCCTAACTTTAGACAAGATTATAATATACATTATTATTAATTTATATTCGAGAAAATAGTGATTTTGGCTACACATTAAGTTAAGAGGCTGCCACCAGGTGCCCAAGCCACACACGACTCTCCAATTTTGAACAATGTTATTCCACCTTTACTTTTGTTGTGTAGCATTCCACTAATGGGAGCGGTTAGGTATTCTAGTAAATATTATGATTTTTTACTGAGCAGAGGGTTGAAACGTGGGGCAAAGAACTTAGCCCTTCTTCCCCTCTCCCTCTCCCTCTCTCTCTCTCTCTCTCTCTCTCTCTCTCTCTCTCTCTCTCTCTCTCTCTCTCTCTCTCTCTCTCTCTCTCTCTCTCTCTCTCTCTCTCTCTCTCTCTCTCTCTCTCTCTCTCTCTCTCTCTCTCTCTCTCTCTCTCTCTTTTAGTATTGCTGCCGTATTGCTCCATTCCAGTGGAAGTGTTCCAGAGTGGGTGGAAACAAATATGTTTCTGTGTCATAAACTCCAAGCTCTGAGAAAGGTTAGGTCCTGTCCCCCCCCCCCAACCCCTCTGGCAGTGTGTAAGTAAGTTGTTATGACCTGAAAGTCACTGTGTCACAAATACATCCAAGTGGCTGGTAGAGTTTAACTGAGGGCAAGTACAAAGTTATAAAACTTTAATACTGTGAACAAAAGGTCGGACACAACGTACAAAATTGATCAGAAAACTCTCAAGGAATCTAACAGTTACAAGAAGCACAAAAAAATCTATGTTTGCCAAAGTATATTGTCTCAGTACACGTAGTAAAGACAACTCAGAATGTGTCAGGGTACTGGACACATGCGTCTCATACATGACTAAGAGATACATGATTTTCATACAGATGATGCAAGTAGTAAACTTACACTTGTGAGACACAACTAAATATTATTATATATTATGGGTTTATACAGTTAGGCCTCTGGATGAATAGGCGGAGTTTTTTGTCGTCATTACGTTGATCAAATGAACGTTTACTGTACAGAATATAAATATAATGAAGCTCGTCTTGGATAACAGCTTTAAGCATCAGCTTGATATATATATATACAAAATACGGACTAACGCGACTGATATATTTTGGGCGTATTTTGTACTTATTTAAGGTCAACCAAGCGGCCTTTTTATTTTGATGGTAAGCTTTAAGACGAACTTTGTTGTCTTGGTTAACTTGAAAAAGAACTTTGTTGTCTTGGTTAACTTGAAAAAGAACTTTGTTTTGACGGTACGGCTGAAAAAGAACTTTGTTTTGATGATAAGTTTGAAAAAGAACTTTGTTTTGATGATAAGCTTGAAAAAGAACTTTGTTTTAATGGCTTTGGGGTTGATAGCACACCGAATATATCTCCAGAAACTTAATTCGAGTGGATATTATCAGCTGCATCTGCAACGTTATCTAAATTACATACTGACATTAGGCATACGAATAAATAGTTTAGGACCAAGTATGCCACAGATGAGAGACCAGTTTTGAAGTATGCAGCGCCAGCATGGCGTCATTATCTCGTTAAACAAAAAAGTAAGCTGATTAAAGGTCACAGGGATGCAACCAGTCTGGTACATGAGCTAAGAAGTATGAGTTATGAAGACAAATTAAACAAATTAAGTCTCTTGACATATAGTAAAATGAAAGGGGAGAAATATGATCACCACATATAAAATACTTAGAGAAAAGACAAGGCAGATAAGTACATGATATTTGGCAAATGAACACGAAGTCACAAGTGGAAGGGAAGGGAACTGTCAGGGGGAAAGCGCCAAGTCATTACGACTATATAGCACTTGGAAGGGGTCAGGATAAGGATTTGGGATGGGAAGGGGGAAAGGAATGGTGCCCAACCACTTGGACAGTCGGGGATTGAACGCCGACCTGCATGAAGCGAGACCGTCGCTCTACCGTCCAGCCCAAGTGGCTGGTTTCACAAGTGGAAATTAAGTACAATAATGAGCTCTAGAGATGTTAGAAAGAATTAGTTCAGTGTCAGAGTGAACAAATAACTGTAATTTATTAAGAAATGTGATGGAGACAGATTTTATGCATAGCTTCATATATACTTCTGAGAGAGTTCAGTACACTTTGAAATCTGGAACCAGATTCACGAAGCAGTTACGCAAGTACTTACGAACGAGTATATCTTTCCTCAATCTTTGACGGCTTTGATTACATTTATTAAACAGTTTACAAGCATGAAAACTTCCCAATCAACTGTTGTTATTGTTATAAATAGCCTCCCCGGTGCTTCGGAGCTCGCTAACTGTTTAATAATTGTAAACAAAGCCGTCAAAGATTGAGAAAAGATGTACAGGATCGTAAGTGCTTGCGTAACTGCTTCGTGACTCTGGCCCCCCTGGACCAGTATTCACCAAGCATGTACGCAACCACTTACGATACCACTTACGTTCTTAACATATAGAAAAGTTCTTACATTCTTGTAAAGCCACTAGCAAGCACGGCGTCTCGGGCAGGTCCTCGATCACGTTCAAGTACGTTTATTGAGACAATAAAATACTTCTCAAAGAGATAGAGCAGCTTAGGCTTACAATACGACCCGCCAAATCGTTTAACAACCAGGTACCAATCACTGCTGGGTGAACAGAGGCGTACAGTTACGGATTGGCACCTAGTCAATTCTCCCCGGCCAGGATACGAACTTAGGCCAATCGCTCGCGAAGCGCCGAGCGATTGTCTTACCACTGCGCCACGGAGACCCGTACGATGTCGGCATCATGGCGGCTTTACCTACATTTACTAAACAGTTCACGAGCTTGGTCCCTTCACAACCAGGGTTATTATTGCCATAACGTCGTAGTGCTTCCGAGCTCAGAAACTGTTGAAGAAATGTAAGCAAATCTGTTATGATTGAGGAAAGATGTACAGGTTTCGTAAGTGGCTGCGTAAATGCTTGAGGTTTAGC